TTGTATTATTTACATTTGTGGGTACATTATTTGCTTGTATCCTGGCGGTACGTTTTATGCGTGTGTTGATGCGTGCTTCATAAAGTGTATTTTTAGCAATTTACCGGATTTAGAAATGGGTTAAAATTAACATGCTTCTCGCCAATGTTACTCATACGCCACAGTGTACTGCTGAATAAGTGAAAAGTTCTCAGGTTCAGGTTGTTTACCGTGCTTCCTCTTATTTCTTGTTTTCTGTTCAAAATGTTTGAAGCAATCTCATTCAGTATAAATTTTCATTTTATTTAATTAGTTGTGAGTTTCAAAATTAATTTTCTCTTCATGTTCTGTGAGTTTAAGTTATAAGTTAACTTTAGAACTTATTAATTTAGTTGCTTTGATTTCGAAAAGTTGGAAAAGCATTTTACCTAAAACTTCCATGTAAATAATTCATAAATGCAAATAATAGGTAAAATTAGGTATGCCCTTCACCTATCTAACTTTACGCTAGGTTGAGTTTATACTGCATTAGCAAAACGTTTAAAATTGTATGTAAGAACGGGTATGTTCAGTGTAAGCTTTGACTAACACTTACTGAAGTTGTTTAAAATTAGGCAAAAACATAAACTGATCTTATTTAATCGGTGGCATATATATGTATATACATTATTTATAATTTTCTCAGAAATACTACAAAATGCACTCAATTTACTTTTATCCTTCGGGAAGAATAAATTTGAATGTGATAAAATAAATATTATTTTATTTTATCATTTTATTTTTGATTTAATGAATAATTTTCAAGTATTTTACTAATATTACAAATTCTTTTTATCTTTCAAATAGGTAAATTCAAAAATCAATTTTGTTTAATTTCTAAAAGGAAAGTTTTTATTTTAAAAGTATTTTCAGTTTTACTTTTTAATGTTAAAATCAAAGCAAACGTATACTAAAAAATTAATAAGTGTTTCTATCGGTCCTTATACAAATTTAAGGCTACTTGATATAATTAACAACTAAGTTTATTTACTTGTTGACTGGATCTGCCTGGATTTACAAAGAGTTAATTTAGTATTTATTTAGTGTATTTAAGTATTTATTTTGTGTATTCAATTTTAATATTGTATGCAAACAACAACCAGTGTTGGTTGGAATCAAAGTTCAATAAATATTTTTTCGCTGATAAAATATGACGATTTTTGGCATTTTTACTACCATATTTATAGCAAGAAATCCTCGAAATATAAAAATATAATATACATATAAATAATTATAATAAATATAAATAATATAAATATAATAATATTTTTAATATATTATAAATATATATAATATAAATTTATATATAATATATATATAATATATATATGGTGGGACGTTGGGACAGCGCACTGTCCAACAAGTGGCCCCACTGAAGTGAAGGATTAGTCGAAGTAGACCACGAAACGACTTGGGTCCTTTTTCGTCCTTCGATTCTCGGATGTTGTTATTGAGTTAAAGCTGGAGTGGCTTCCGTTCGCATAACTACATCTTTTGTTAATGCAAGCATCTCATTTAGCTTGAGGTTTCCTGCCAAGTCGTCACCAACCCAATGGTGTCCCAAGACAGTCTTCCTCCTACTTGCCAGTGCTGGACATTGGCACAATATATGCACCGCTGTCTCCTTTTCTTCTAGACATAGTCTGCAAGTGTCTTCCTCAGCAAGAGTTATCTTTTTGAGGTGATACTTGAAGTTGCCATGTCCAGTAATTAGTGAGGTCAGCCAGCTTAGAGTGCTCCGCGAATAGCTAAGCACTTTTATCGCTTCCCTGGCCCACGGTTTAGGTAACATGAGTTTGGTCTGTCTACAAGTGCTCAACTCTCTCCATCTATTAAGATGAAGTGAGATTATATATATAAATATATTAATTAAAAATATATTAATTCATCCGACAAATTTAAATAGATCATTCGTCCGTACCGATTAACAGTCTGACAAACTATCAAAAAATAGACCATAGAGCCGGATATTCACTTCATGGAATGTTCCTGGAAGTTTCCTCTTAATATAAGCTGTTATAATTTCTACAATGTCTATCAAAACGAGTGCGCAATTTTTCTGCATGAGTTCTTATATATGATTGACCAAAGAGAGGGACTGCAGAAAGCCTTGCAGTATTCACCACGCCTCTTCTAATAAGTTCTCAATATTCGGTCATCTTATTAAGAACTATGTCAACCAGAGAGTAGTTGGAATATTAACAAATATTTAAATACATAAATGTAGAAAGAGATGGATAGATGTATGGATAAGGATGAAATTAATTATTTCGTCAGTGTTATTATTATAATGACTATTATTACTTAATTTATTTTTTTTTTTTTAGGAGGATTGCGATTAATCACAACTAAGGTAAACTATTGTGCTAACACCAGATTTCAGAACCTTTCTTTAGAACCTTTCTTTTTATAAAAGTTTGCCACTTGTTTGGTTTTATTTTGTTTCATATGATAAGCAAGACAAAATGTGGGTTTTTCTTTTGAAAAGTATTTGTAATTCAATTTTGTGCAATCATAGCATATGTTTGACACATTTTTGTATCCATTTCATAGAAGCGGTAGACATTGGTTTCTGAAATCTCAATTTTGTTTTCAAAATTTATATTATCCATTTTACAAAAGCGGCTGGAGTACTGGGTAAACTTTCCAGGACTCAGACAAAGTAAAGCACTGATAACACCGTACTCCTACAAAGACATTCTTAAATTCTCTAAATGTAATTTAAGGTTGATAACGGGTTTCATTACAGGTCATTATGGCCTGAAATATCACCTTCATAAACTACAATTATCTGCTAACTCGGAATGCAGATTACGCCTCGAAGAAGAGGAAACGACCATGCACATTCTTTGTGACTGTCCAGCTGCAGTGCTTTATCAGAAACAGGTAAAGAACTTTAATGCTCAATACAATGATTATAAATGAGAGTGTTTATCGATTATTTGATAAAAATATTAGCCTGTAATTGGCTTTTATATTAGTTTCCCTAGATCCTACGACGAGCAAGGGGTCACAAGATATTTCGCTGTTATAACTTTTAAATGTACATTCCTGAGTTTCTACACAATACATTGTTTTTCTTATGCTCTCTTTGTATTTTGGATCATTAATAGTCTCTCCATTTCCTGTGCCAATGCTTTCCAAATAACAAAAACTTTACAAAAAAAAACTTTCAGTTAAAAAAGCTCCAATTCTGCAAAATTCAAATTATTTAACTCATATAGATACCTTTTGAATAGACTTTTTTTTGATATCATGTATCCTGAATATATATATACAGATTCATTTCCAAATCTACGAAACTATTGTTGTTGTAGCCCGTGGACATGTGTTTGTATAGGCACTTTGAAGGTGGTGGAAACTGGTCGTCGAGTAATCGACGAGTGACTCCGGAACGTTAACTTGATCGCTCTTGGAAACTCTAAGAAAGTTTCTTACATGTTGTTGTCGTTTAATGTACTCATTAAATTGTCGATATTTTCAGACAATGTCAAGGGCTTTCGCCAACACCACAACATACAATTAGTATATCAATATTCCTTGTTGTATGAGATCTTCAATTTTAATCTTAATGATATTCCACATCGTTATACAGTGTTTTTAATATAAACTTTTTAAGTAACCATTATTTGATGGATACTATTTCTCTCTTAAGTATTTAGTTAAGACATTTTTATTGTGCTTTGAAATCACTTATTTAGATGAATTACTTAGCATATTGCATCATTTAAAACACCAATTTGCTTTTAAAAGTTGAATTCTAAAACTTGCTGATTTTGTAAAATTGGATGAAGGTTAGATAAATTATTCATTCAATTACTTATTAAAGCTATATGTATTATTTTACCTCACAAAACCTTTTATATACTTGGAACCCTCCATTATAACGCGAAAATAGCAAAATTAAACCATAAATTGCGAATAATCTCTTCTCTTTTTTGACTAGCAAATAAGTTTTCCTTTCCATTTTCTCAGGCTTTCACTGCGACTCAACTTTAAAATAGTTTTATGATTTAATAAATTGTTTCTCTAAGTTTTAATTTACAAACCTCTTTAGTTATTCAACGTGGAACACGTCGCATATAGTCTTTCGTACAGCGATGAAATTGAGTTAAAACGTCCAATTTAAGCAAACTTTGGCAAATGCAGTCTTCCACAAACGAGCCAGTATCATGGCCACATTCACATACATAAATAGCAGGGCTGATGCTGCAACATTACGGTAATAATTTCGTGACAATTTGATAGAGCAAACACTCATACACTCTCAAGCACTATAACTGTATTGCAATCAAATTAACACTTCGCCGGCTGAGGCGGTAACCCTATTCGTGAGGGCTTGTGTGTGGAAGTCAGCTTGCAATTAAGGCATGCAAAGTGAAAAATCAACATGTTGACACAATTTTTCAGCTTCATTAGGACAAATGTGGCCTGGCTAGGTTAAGAAATTTGATGTGGCTATGCATTGCAAATGTTTATAACATACGCAATTTTATGTTTCAACTGCGTATGTAAAGTGTATAGAATTGTCGCTTAAACTATTATGCATACTTTGGAATAATAAACTATATAGTTTACTACTGAACATACAAAGAATTTTAATGCTTTTTACTCTACTCTAAACTGCCTACCTACTTACCTAGGTTTACACTCATCCACTTATCAAAAATTTTCATTTTCACTGAATTTTAAATGTAATTTATCTCGAGTTCATTTTAAGTGACTGTCTTTAATATTTTATCATTTTAAGATTTTATGATTTTACTGCGTCATTGGGGAATAATTATAGTCATTTTTCAGTACACAAAACGCACCTAACTCGATTCGAAACCTACGTTGCCTATGCAAACAAACGACCCGCCAAAATGAAACACAACAAACCGTAAAGCAACGCATTCTGTTCTACATAAAATGATAGCTAAAATTGTGGTTCTTATGGGTTAAACATTGGTTCTTTTTTTATTTCATTTTACAACACTTACCCGTTGTCCTTGCCTTTGTTTGCTTTCTCCACGCTCGCCTAGTTTGCCGTTCAATTATGTAAATTTTATCCCGCGGCAGTTTACGCGCCTACTTTGGCTCCTTTACAGCTGCAGAGAACACGCAGTTTTACTATTGCAATTTGTAGATTTCGCACTTGTCGTGAAATTAATAATCTGTAAATAAAAACAAGAAGTAGAGTATGAGATATGTACACACATAGATATAGAAGCAAAAGTGAGACAAGTCAAATTAGAATAAAAATATTTAATTAAAATTATTTTATTTAAATATTTGCCCTGAGGTTGTCAGTCTTTTGTGTTTGTAGTGCGTAATTACAGTACGAAAGGATTTATTTATGCTGAGCGTTTATTAATTACAAAAATATTTAATAAGGTATGTCATATCTTTCTATTCGTACTCCCCGATCCACTCATTGTCGCGTCCCACAAGTCAGTTTACACACTCAATCATAGAGTCGTGGCATCACTCACTCGGCTCTATATTGCGCTCTAATTTGCATATTTGGATTAATTAGTTTTGCTTCTTAGGTTTTGTAATTTAGTTTGGGTTTATTTTCTTATTTAAGAAAGGCACACTTGGGTTAAGGTGACTGAGTTCAAGTGTAGTAATCCCACGAGATTTATGTTTTCCCAAAATGACAATTAATGTGAGAAATCAAGTACTAAATAATTAATTTCTTTGACTTTCAAATCTTACTCTAAGTCATTGAGCCCTCAAGGGGGGTATTATGTCTTATTAAAGCTAATATAGATATTTATTTCAATAGGTTTAAATCTAAATTATTAGAGAGAGAATATTTGAGATACTTCATATTTTATCTATACATTTTTTTAAGTCATCGAACACCCTGTTCAGACCTGATGCGATCGCGGAGCAATACAAAACACTACACAGATTTGAGGGCCGCAGAATCAAAATTTAAATTCATTTATTTGGTGTACCATGAAAATAAAATAATGTAGTTTTACCAGTACACGAAAAGAAAATTTGCGTAATTGTAGCCGATTAAAAACATACCGCGGGCCGCACAAACATTAGACAGGGTTGTTCAGACCAGATTCGATCGCGGACCAATACAAAACATTCCACAGATTAGAGGTCCGCACCAACCCGCGCCCCGTTTTTTGGACAGCCCTGTTATAGAGCATAACTTGCAGTAGTCTAATAGTTATGATTTCAGTTCCGACAACTAGCTTTTATTAGAAAGGACTTAAATCACAAGATTTTCTCTGGAGATAGCATGATAAATCTCATAATACGTAACGTCCTTTTTAACGTCCGTTTTGACGATATAAATTAAATTTTTAATGTAAACTATTGTTTTCAATAGAGAAGTATTTTGAACAGTAGTAAATTACAACTAAATTTTATTATTTTTAATTAATTGAATTTTTAGCTGACCATATACTTGTTTCGAGTATTGCTTAATACTCTGCGGTCTTGGAATAATTTTTTGTATTTATTTATTATTAAATAATTATTTGAAACTGCAAGTGACAAGGGTTGAACTGGTAACCTGCCAAATTTAAAACTCAGAGTCAGTGTTCATTATCCAACTTACTCAAAGCCGTACTTGACTCATATGTTCGAACTTGACGTTTTGTTAATTTGCTGTGAAAGTTCATTAACAAATTCGCTTGCTGTGCTATATTAGAGCGAATTCATATATTAGCTGTAGCATAATTATATTAGTTAATTATATTTTTATTTTTAATTGTTTAATTTCAATACTTTTCTCTTGTGGAGTAGTATATAGTATATTAACCATCTCAACTAAAAGTTTTTTATTTCACCTGGTAATTACAGTAAGTAACGTGTGTGAGTGAATTTGAAGAGCGGTCGAAAAAATTAGAAAATAATGTTTATGGTCTATAACTTTCTATATAATGGTCTGTAATGCTAGAAAAAAATAAAGAAGCTACTACTGCTCGTTATGGGGCAACATCATCATATTGTTATGACTTTACATCCCATATCTATGCGTAGATTTGCAATAATTTTCTTCTTCGTTGAAATGTTCAACTTTCAGAGCAAATTATTTTACCAGTCTTTGCCACAATAATCCGTCAGTAGTAAACAAAAATGTGCAGTTAAAGTTTCTTCATTGTTTATGAGGTTTATGCTCTGGACTTAAAACCTCCTACATAAAAATTGTCCCAATTAAAACAAAGAGGAACCTTTGAACACCGCACACTGTTGTGGTAGAGTACGCTCACACCTTTGATGGAAGAATGAGGTGACCAACAATATGTAGACACTTGGTGCTACCAACTGGCGACAGCAAACAACTGATCAGTCTGGCTGGTGGAGGTTACTGGACGTAGTAATTTAATGCAGTAATTTAATTTATTATATTGTTTTTCGAATTTCTGGTTATTAATAATAATAATTGTTTAAAATATTTGTTACAGTGTTTTTCATTGATTTTATGTGATGTGATATTGAAATGACGTGTTCGATATTTTAGAATTAGTCACATAATATTTTCTTTGAATATATATTAATCATACAACCTTTGTACTGTAAGTTATTGACAGATGATTGAAGATTAAAAATACAATATTAGATATTAGATACAAAAATATCTAATATCTTAGAATAGTAAAAAAAAATAGGAAAAATGAAATAAAGAAAAAAAAACTTTTACTATCTCAGTGTAAACGTGTTTTCAATTATACTTTTTTCATTATTGTATATATACGAAATATAAGACAACTAAATGAAGTGTATTATATCGAGTAATGTCACAGAACACACCTTATTCTGTAACACACCTTCCATGTATTGTACAGTAGCAAAAAAAAAATTAGGAAAAAGTTTTGTTGATCTCGTATATTCATTAAATTTTTAAAAAAAAATGTTAAGTTTGGAAGTATCTTTTTTTTTATTCTAAATATTCGATTTTGTAAAGATGTTAAAAAATACTTTAGTTAGAGCACGGAAGTGTTTCTGAAATCAATGGCTAGTCTATACAGCTCAGCTTTACAATTAAGACTATAAAATAGATTATGTTTGTAATCTTGATCCACAATAGACGGTATAATGATAACTTAAACATGTGGTATAAAATTCATTTGAACTGCGTGCAAACCTATAAAACCAGTTAAAACCGGCATCCCCAATAACTGGGTTGAAATTTCCGATATTTGGTGTATAATGTTGGTTTAACATATACTAACTTATTTACACTAAATAGATTAAATCATAACTCTCTAGCTTCACATTACTAACACTTTGTCTCAAAAAAATATGTGCAGATTTTTTTTATTTATATAATGCTATATTATATAAGCTTAGAGAAACTGTTTAGTTTTATATAAAGATACTATGAGTAATATTAACCGACACGTTGGATTTTGAAAATTTTCACTAAATTAATTTGAAAATTAGTTTTAAATTGAAATTAGTCGAAAATTAATTCTATTTTTTAAGCATGAGTTATTTTTTAAGATCGCACAGTTTATAGATCTGCAGGAAACGACTTAGAGTAAATAAGGTTGGTATTTATAGTTCTTAAATTTAGAACTCTCCAGCATTATATTAAAAATTATATCACAATGAGTGTTTTCACTTTATTATTTAAAATAATATTATATTAGAACCCTCATATAGCTTCACCTCTGATTAGTTTATATATTTTACTTTAATATTTGGGTAACAACGTATTTAGTCCACTTAAATATAGATATTATATGTAATTATATATATCTATGTATAATAGATAATAATAAATAAAAATAGACAAAAACATATTAAATAGAGAAAACAACTAAGATCAAAATATAATTTGTATACAATTTTATTAAATCTAAAGCTGTTAATATATTTTTTTTAGACTGAAATTAAGTTATTATAAAGATTTTATAATTATAATTAAAGATTCTATTTTAAATAAAGTTTTCGTTCAACTATAACAGCTGATATGGAAATGGTTAACAATATCAAGTATTGATGTAGCCAAGAAAAGTGTCAAAGAGGTCCACTATTAAAAGAACTAAAACCTGATTCAAATGTAATGACTGATAAAATTATTCTCAATTCCTGTTCTTTGGATCGCTCTTATTTATGTTTATTAAGACACATTTTTAGCGAGCCACCTTTTAATATGCTCCCAAAGGTGTCGATCCAAAGGGATACCAAGTGTTAAAGTAACTACCAAAGAATATAAATGTCTAAATATTTTTATATCAAAATCTGGAACTAGAGCAATGAAATTTTGTGCAGCCTTGGCTAATTGTGGATAAACACGATAAGTCATCGCTTGTAATTTGACAGGCACGAGTTCAAAGCCTGGCACTTGCAGTCCAAACAAATTATAATCGGACTATAAACAATTAAATTCGTATATTTTCTAAGACCACTGATGATGAGTACTTGGCAATATTCGAAACAGCTGTAATTTGGTCAGCCAAATTAACTATATTTTTGTGTTTGTACTTTCTTTCTTTACTATATTAAAACTATCTAAATTTTAAAAAAATAGATTCTTTGTCATTATAAGAAAGCGTACCTTTTTCGGCAATACTAATAAAAACTTTAAAATATTTCGTTCTAATCAAAATAATTGAACCAATTGATGAGTAGTTTCTTAAATTTTATCGATAAAATTTTTTAGTTGCATTTAAAGGCAAAGTTTTTATTATCAAGCTTAGTTATAATTCCATAGATAGATAGATACTTGTTGCAAATGTAGTTAGGAAAATGTTAAAAATTTTTCCACGTTTCTGTTTAATTTCAAATTTTATTTTCCACTTCATAGAGTTTAAAATGCTTAGCAAAATTAATGCAAAACATAAAAACTAATTCCTACTTTCAGTTTTTATTCCCTCCAATAGAGACACGTTCATGCACTTGCAACTCTGCCACTCCATTCACTGCACAAGTGCAGTTCAATTGCACTACAAACTAAAAATTGTATCTTAAATTCTTTATGGCTTTCGGTTGAGGAAGAATTTTCAAAAAGATCCTCATTTAAGATAAAATTTATGTGGAGTAAACTGCCTTGAGTGAACGAACCAACACGCTTTCCATTTTTAAGCATTTTTTTGCATTTATTTTCAATTTTTATGACTTAAAATCGCTTTAAATTGATTAGAAAATTTTTACCAAAGGCGCATCGAAACACAAAGAGTCCAAAGCAGATTAAGCTTA